GAACAGACGCCCCCGAAGGGAATAGATTTCTAGTCTATCGCATTAGACCACTCTGCCACTGCGCCATTGTGGTGCCATTCGAGCAGCTTTGATTGGTGCTCCAGGCGATGGTAAAACGATTTGTTACCACACACTATATCCTTAAAATGGGTCCCGTTCAATGGCAATCGGAAGTTTACATCACTTTCTGAACTTGTATGAAATCATTTATCAGGTAGCTTGGTCTTACCTTTTTCTATTACACTCCAGCATTATGCCTTGCACCTATTTAATACTCACGCCGTCAATTCCACCTTTCTATAATGGGATTTACAACGGATAGGCGCGATATTTAGCATCGTGAATATGCGATTGATTGCCTAGTTTTGATACCGACAACGATCTCCTATGCGGCGTATCAATATTGGATTTAAAAAAGCTTGGGGTCTAAGATGTGAAGTTGGGATTAGAAATGAGGATGATGAAGTGGAAAATGGCCGGTCAACGTTGAATCCGACTGTCTATCAACCACCTAGGTTAGAATAATTGCAAGTTTTCGTCTCTTTCGTCTGGGGATACGGTTGGAGAGTAGTGCCTGACTTGGCCTTTCGCAGCTCACAATTGCCTTCTTAGTAGAGAATCGTTGCCGTAGTTGGCTAATATGAGGCTTTATTTTCCGCCATAGTCGAGACATCGTACCGTGTAAGACCCTATGAACATAGCAAAACATGGATGAAGAACCTATCGACAATAATTTCGAAGCTAGTTGGGTTAACAAGATCTACAGAGGGGGCATGCACGCTCAGCTACCTAGGTAGGTAGAAAGAAGAGAGGTGGGATATGCAATAGTCATTATTAAGTCCATCCAGTCATTAGAGTTTACTTTACTCATTAATATCGTGGCGTAGATTATCCCTTTCCAACTATCTCATCGCTTGAACCTCGACAAGAACCCCAATCTGAGAAACTTCGGCGGCGAAGGGGACGTGAACCCTTCGTCGTGCTTCTCCCGCATCGCGCCCATCTTCTCGTCCCTGGTATGGCCGTTCTTGCTCAGATTCCCTATCTTGCCCTTCAGCGTCCATAACGAGTCCGCTTTCCTAAGCAGCGGCTTCTTCATCGCCGCAGTCTTGGGCTTCTCGTGGATCTCGTCGCTCTGCGTCCAGTCCACGCGGTGCTCGTGAGCCGTCGCGGGATCAATCGCCAACGTCTCCTCCGACGATATCTCATCGATGGGCAGGTCGAGCGTTGCCGTTGGGTGAATCGTTAATGGTTCGTCCTCTAGGATATTTCCGAAACTACTCTTTCTCCTCGATCTCACAGGTGCAAGTCCAATGATGCTATGCCGACGGCGGCCCTCTTCCGAGTTGCCACGCTCGTCCGATACTACCCAAGGATTCCGAAACTGGGTTCTTTCGTAGAGCTGCTCCCGATGGTTGTGTGTCCTCTCTAAAGCAGGGTTTTGCTGCGCTGGAGTGATACCGGAATCGAGCCCAGTTTGGTCAGAGGGACGACGACCTTCGACGTGAAACTTGAGTGTTGACTGCGATTGGCTGTGTACGAGATTCCTGTCACGCATGCCGTTGCCGGTCGCCGTCCTTTCGAATTGGGCTGCTGCTTCCTGAGGCACATGGTGATAAGACGGAGCACTCACTGCGCTCTCTGTGCATGTCGGTTCCGGCCTTGATGGTTTGCGCCGTAGCTTTTCTTGTATAGACTTCGACATGGATCGTCCAGCTTTGGTTTCCGAAGATTGTTCGGAACTTTCCTTCCAAAGATCTGACGCTGAGATCTTACTTCTCGCCATTCTTGCTGCGAAACTGGTCTCGCTGGGTCCTGATTTCAGAGATGCTGATTTCGGTACCATATCTGACTGACTCGTTGGTGTGTCCAGCTCGTTACTCTGCGCCGATCCCCTTTTATCTAGTCTTTCTCTCCGCTTCTTCTCCTTCGACGCCTCTTGCTCTGCGATGACAATGTTCAGTCGTCGACGTAAGTCATCAGCATCAAAGGGTTGTGACTTGGCATGCCGCTGTTGTCTCGTATGACTCGGTCTATAAGAATCCGATTTACGAACAGGTTGCCTGGCTGAGCCTGACTGTTGATGGCCGTCCGCTGGTCGGCCCATGGTGAGTTGCATTATGTATCTTTTTCTCTATCTAGATGAAATGGTCGGAAATGGTGTCGCTAGGTTGTTGGTTAGATTCGGAAGAGCGACCAACTCGCAATATTAGACGAAGATATGATTCAGAGGCCGAAGTTGTAAGTTCGCATGAAGTAGGAGGGAACGAGAAGCTGAGAGAGAAACTATGGTCTCAAGTCCTAAAAAATTGCGAATTCTTTATCTGCACACACCCATCCCATAGCGCACATGACCGTCTCATGAGGCTTGAGCTTGCTCACGGAGCAAAAGCTAAGACAACAGCGGTAATCGATGTAAGACCAACCCAATTAGGGTAAATCCACACGAACTACGGAAAGGTTCCAGGAACGAGGAGGAGAGAAACTTTACTAGACTAACATCAAGGTTTCAGAGTGAAAGTAAAAAGTAGAAAATAGAATAGGTACCTAGAGCTCTACATGTAGGTTACATTAGTTCTGTGCAATGGACACAGCGATCCATTGTTCACCATATTAGGGAGGTCCTCTCGTCTTAAATGAAAATCCGGGGCAATCTCCAGAATGCGCCCATCTTGGCCAAGAGAATATGTAGCCTCTTTTTTTTAACGTAACATGGGGGGGTACAAGGACCCGTGAATGGTACCGAACGGCAATGGCCCGTCACTTGACTATCAGTCATCGCTAACCGTCTAACACTACCTACATAGTACTAGGTAGAGGCTAACGTAACTCCAAAGGATAAGGGCAGCATTAGACGGTTTCCAGCCACTGCGTGACCTCGGTTCCCTTTTGTTACTTTGATTTCTATATGCTGAAAAGCTTGCAGGCTTACGGAACCGAGACGCATTTCTGGTGTCATTATTTTACCCGGCTCTGGATCTCAATGCATTACAACGCTCTCCTGAGAGCGCCAGAGCAGGCGGTCTGCTGGGATAGTCATAGGTATGAACACATGGTAGGCACGTATTTGAATTTGAACATGAGGAGTACCGTGGTCGATATGGGCAAACAGGGTGGAGGTGGACAATGGCGGTTGGATCCTTGTCGAAAGACCCTGGTCGCACATAAACCCTTGTCTTCGTAGCTAGCCCTGGTCCCATATTGGTTCGTGCTGAACAGCTTATGCACGTACCCTAGTGGCTTTTTTCCCCAAGGGGAAGCGAAAGGAATTGAGCCAGTTATCGAGACGGGATGAACGCCCGCTCATTCCAAATTCTACGAGGGAAGGATCATATGTAGTCCTTAATGTCGTCGCACAGCATCTAGTCTCACGATGAATTCGGTGTTTAAATCTATACTTCCTGTCCCACTATCCCACACGGGGATGATGCCGAATGCCATGCTCCTTGCGACATGTGTGTATGTATGTAGTATGTATGTACCGATCTAAGGCGATTCGATAGGGCCGCGTGGCGTGGTTGATAGGTCCATCTACCGTACGACCTCTACGTCGATGAGAGTATATTTGTGTGTTGTGTCCACTCTAACTCTGATGTTAATTAGGCCATGATAATTGGGGAGGTTCCAGTTGAGAAGGGATCCAACCATACGTACGTGCTTACGCTTGGCCCTCTTTCAATATATTTGCCCACCGTCCAGTCTCGCCAGCCGGCAGTTCATGGCGATTCGTCGAACAATACCAAGATTCTGCACATTGGCACGCATGAATGCTTTGGTTGATTAGTTGGCGACTGAAGCCATGTAACTCTGCGAATCGCATGCCAATCAATGGTCACAGCTCCCTGGACCATTGAGGAGTCTCCAAATGCCGCCTTATTGGTGGGAGAACAATCCGAAGGGGATGGAGACGGCTCAAGGTCCTGCTTAGATCAACACGTAGCTCCTGTAAAGGTAGGCATAGGAGTCGTGATATGTCATCGCAGGTGAATGAACCATCTCCTTTAACGGTACTAGACAGACCTATCGCCTCAGTACTAGCCATTCGACGAATGCCAATTACAGCTGAGAGAGAGATTTAAGAGGGCAATTTGACAGCCTCTCCCACTCTACGAATAGCCTACCTGGTCACTATTGAGGGTTGATATCAATAGCCACACCGTAGCTAACCCAACGAACATCCTTGTCGTAGCTGGTAGATCCGTCAGGCACGAAGATGCATCATAATAGGAGGTATAAGAAAGCATTTGAAGGTTACGGTAGCGCTAAGGTAGGCTAGTGGCACATAAGTACCGTTGTCTTTCATAGATAACGGTTGCTTGCAGCAGCGAACCGGACGATCCTCGTATTTGGTCCCGTGTTAGCTGGTAGGGCCACGACACTGCTCAATACGTAGGTAGGTACCTAGGTAGCTCTGGAGGCTTGATCGGTGCGAGAAGGGCGGATAAAGCGACGATGACATTCTGGCCGGTGTTACCATCGCATTCACTGGCAAGCTAGCGCAGCTGAGTTAACAGAGCAATGTTGCACGATCTCGGAGTTGAGGGCATCAGATGCGGTACTACCAATACAATGACAAATCCGGAGATTTTGAGAATCATCGATCAGCAGCTCTTTGATCGACGGTCTGCGTGTTCCAAGACTTGACTGGAGTTGGGATTTCGGATGGATCCGAATACTGAGTTGTGGTATGAACCCAGAAAAGTAACAAGGTTTAAAACTATTGCCATATTGAAATCCAAACGAACGTAAATGCGGCAGGGTGTGTGCGTGTGGCTGAATCAGGGATAATCATTAGATTTATGGTCTCATTTGGCTGAGTTGTAACGGTTTATTTGAAACATTGTAATAGAAGTTGAGGTACTTGCGATGGACGATCTTATGTATTTGGAACTAAGTTTATCAAGGGATGATTCAAGATCTGCTGAGAGAACTTAAAAAGACGAACGAAAAAAAAGGGTAGCAATTGCTGCAGAGCAAATGCAAAAAGACAAAATGTGATGCTCTCGATCGGGGAATCGAACCCCGGCCACCTGCGAACTTGTACATGACAAGCAGGTATCCTGACCACTAGACCAATCGAGATGCTTTGATTTCCTGAGGAAACCGATTTCTCTAGTGAGTTGTGACAGTCTGCGGTAATTTGCAGTATAGATACCATACCTGCTCTAAGCACAACGATACAGACTGACGCTAAACCGGAAAGGGGCTTAACCTTGGACCTGGCAAAGCTTGCCCTATATTTCTTGGATTTACGTAAAAATGTGGACAAACCTTCCAATATCGAACAGTTTCCTGCAAGGTACCATATATTCGGGAAATGGTTGTGTATATATATACATTGCGTATCATATAATATGACATACTCGTACAAATAAACATCGTCATCTGTAGCTATCACTCGTAAACAAGCAACCAAGCAACCACGATGCCTTTCCTAGCTCTGACTCCCCTACTAGCGAGATCTATCGGGTGGGGTAGCGATCTTAGAACGATCTGCTGCCCCTCACCCACCGATAAGCTATAGAGCTAGGGACGTAAAGCTAGTTAGTCATTATCTACGAGAGAAAGAAACAGCTGCGCTAGTATCTAAAACTAAGCAGACCGTCTGGTTGTGCTAGGTATTCTACTCTCATTGAAATTCCACTCCGAGATCTATATAGCCTGATATTTTCTCTTCACGCCCCGCAATGGCTACGCACTCACACGACGGTGGCTTGACTAGCCATTCCCACGATGGCTTCTCCGTCGCGGAGCATGGGCATTCACACGAGATCCTCGACGGGCCCGGTAGCTTCCTCGGGCGCGAGATGCCCATCGTAGAGGGCCGCAATTGGAACGAGCGCGCCTTTACCGTTGGTATCGGAGGGTGAGTATTCCACTTCCGCAAGATTCCAGGTCCAAGATCTACATATATCCGTTGCTTAGAAAGAAAGAAAAAAAAAAGAGAGAAGAGACAGAAGCTACATGTCATATAAAAACACACATATATATAAGATTGTTTATATATATGTACCTATATATTTACAATATTCAATATTTCTTAAGTCCGGGAAAACTTATACTAATCATCACAGCCCCGTCGGTTCCGGCAAGACAGCCCTCATGCTAGCCCTCTGCCTAGCCCTCCGCCAACAATACTCCATCGCCGCCGTAACCAACGACATCTTCACGCGTGAAGACGCCGAGTTCCTCACCAAGCACAAAGCGCTGCCCGCATCACGCATCCGGGCCATCGAAACGGGCGGGTGTCCCCACGCCGCCGTGCGCGAGGACGTATCCGCGAACCTAGCGGCGCTCGAAGACCTGCACCGGGAGTTCGGGACGGACCTTTTGCTCATCGAGTCGGGCGGGGACAACCTGGCGGCGAATTACAGCCGGGAGCTGGCCGATTTCATAATCTACGTGATCGACGTCAGCGGCGGGGATAAGGTGCCGCGGAAGGGCGGGCCGGGGATCACGCAGAGCGATTTGCTGGTTGTGAATAAGACGGATTTGGCTGAGGCGGTGGGCGCGGACTTGGGTGTCATGGAGCGGGATGCGAGGAAGATGCGGGAGGGTGGACCGACGGTGTTCGCGCAGGTCAAGAAGGGTGTTGGTGTTGACCACATTGTTAACTTGATCCTTAGTGCCTGGAGGGCGAGCGGAGCTGAGGAGGTCGTTAAGGCTCATGGGGGGCCAAAGCCCACGGCTGGATTAGAAACATTAGAGTAATTAAGGTAATGCCGGATGCACCTTGTTTACCGCTTGGAGTAGAGGATCACTTCTAGCGCTTATATGATACCAAGAGATCTTCACTCAGATGAAGTAACCACATGTAGGTGGAATCAAACCCAATTATCATTTATCTCATGATAGTCCTAACGATCGTGATCGTGTAAACCCGCATGCCATGCCGTATGTGAACGGACTCAAGACATATCCGTTCTCTATATCCTTTTACATCTATTGGATATCCTCATCCATAGCCTCGTTTTGTGATTCCGATGCTCCTTCTTCCAATAGAGGCCCAGTAAAGGGAATGGCATTCCGCGGCCATACCCGTTTATAAAGACTAACGCCAACCGCATCCTGCGGATTGATTCTCCCGTCAAAGTTGGCCTTGAAGTACCCGTGGGTACCGAGAGCCTCTTTGATGTATCCGGCCCTTCCTCTCTTCGTCCACAGCGGCAATGCTTTGAACCATTCCACGTCATCTCGGTTGAAAAACATGTATCGAATGGTAACAACTTTCTTGTGGATGTGGTAGGGATGACCAGTCAAGATGACACGCTTAGCTATGACCCTTGCTGTAGAAGGCGCACGAGCAGTTCCCGTCGCTACTAACTGTAGGGGCACGCTTGCTCCTTCATCGCCTTCCTCAGGGATCGTTCGCTTGAAGAATAATGTCGGTACAGCGCCCCAAGTGATGGGACCCATAAACGTGGCGATGGCCGACTGACCGGGGTGGAGGTACCGGCAGTACTTGTGAACATCGTTCTCAGTGTTGCCACTGAGCGAAAATAAAGGGTTGATGATGAACCGCCGAGGTCCGCATTGGACAATTAGCTCTTCCTTAGCCTTAATAGACTTCTCGTAATCTTCCTTGTGGGTAATATCGAAGTTCAAGGATGTCTTCTTGTTTTCATGGCGTAGGAGAGAGAAGAGTGTAACTGGTCGCGAAGGATTGTACGACTTCTCTAGATCTTTAGGGACATTTCTTAGGTGAACGTGGACTCTCGTTCCAGGGGCCACTCCGCCGACTAGAGCTTCTCGCATTGAACGATTCCGAGAAGATTGATAATCGGAAATTTGTAATAGTCTTGACCATTCTTCTGGTTGATAAGGTCGATCTTCGTCCGTATTCCACGGACTGGTTCGCAGACTCTTCAATCCTCTGTATTTCGCTAGGCGTTCCCTTGCGAGGACATTCGGATGTAGTTCGATCTCATCTGGGAATTCCTTGTCATCCTCTGCCTCATCGCGCTTTCTTGCGCGGTAAGCTTCTAATTGTTCGGCGTCGTCATCCTCGTTCGGTTCAATGAACATCTCTGACTGTGGGTACTCTGACATAGCAGCCTCTGTGGGTTCTCTGTGAGCGATACCCTCCATGCCGTCTTCAGGGGCTGCAGGCAGGTTCTCATCCTGAACATCTTTCATCTCTTGGTCATCTAGCTCTGATTCGGAATCGGACACATCGTCCAAGTACCAAGCCGCTTGGTAAGATGATGTTCCTTTTGGTAATTTCTTCGGTGCGGTGTACACCTCTGGTTCCTCTTCGGAGAAGTAGTGATGATCGTCTAGCAAAACACCCTTTTGCTTTGCCGGCTCTTCCATATTTCCTTCCATGTCCGCATCACCCATCATTACTTCTTCGGGGGCTAATTCGGCAAGGTCATCTTGGTCCTCGCCAGGAATCTCTAGGATATTCTCGGCTTCCGTTTCCTCTACAGCCATTACGTCATCTTTCCGCTTCTTAGTCGGGAGTGGCGCGGCTGTGATCTTTTCGATTTGAAAGGTACCCCAATCTCCCACATGAACTAAGCGATCAGCCTTGAGGCCCTTGCCCCGAACGACACCTGTCAGTACCGTTGACTCGTTTTCGGTTGATGGCCACTGGATCTCATCCACGAGCATCCATGACCGCTGGTCTCTCCAATTGATTCCCTTTGGTGTTGTGGTGCAAAGCGATCTCATGAGATTGGAGCATTCTTGCCTCGAATCGAGACTATATATCTTCTCTTGCCCTGGATGGAAATGTGTCATAAATGAGGCGAGTGATTTGACAACGTCTGGACGGGCTTTCGCAGGTTGAATCTTATCTAAGTGCTGTACAGCTGTGAACAACGTTGACATGCCCTGGTTCTCGATACTTCGTATGATGAGTTCGCCTAAAGCGTCGACCTCGACTTCGGAAGATAGTACGAATACGACGTAATCGGCGATTCTTGCCGCATCCATAGATGCCGTGAGATCTCTCCTAACTGGCACATATTGAAGCTTCTGCTTGAACCGGTCGACGGATACTCGGAAGCTGGTCTCAGGGATTTCGGATTCGATATCTAGACTGCTGTTGAGGCTTCTGATGGCTTCAGAAACATTGACATCTGCGCACAGAGGCACCACAGCAACTATCCTTGGCGCACCATCTCGTCCGGTAAACACTGAAGTCTCCTTCTGATGTTCCTTGTGTTTTGCTAGCTGGCGCTGCTTCGCCTGGTTTCGACGATCGAATTTGGACATGACTTGTTGATGGGGGGTTTTCCGTTGACCCTTGTCGTTTGGTACTTTGCCTTTAAGAGCCAATTGTTAATGGCCTGTAGCATATCTGTAAGTTATTGCGGTCATACCTTTGGCTTGGTCTCGTAGGGCGCCCTTTGTGGCTTTCTTGGACTTGAAGGACTTGGGCAAGACCTTTGTAGTCGGCCGATGCGAATGAGTTGCTACTGCTGACGGCATTTTACCGTCGCCTCCAGCTTTAAATCGAAATGGTAGCGACGCCAGATTGGAGGCTTCTCTTGTCGGTGAGATGTCTTGTAAGATCTACGTCGAGATTTCTGCAGCGCAGTGGCCGGTGACTCGAAATTTTGGAGGGGCAGAGGGGCAATTGAGTCAATCGGCAGGCGTAATGGGAATCTTATCACAATATTTTTTCTGTGGGAGTGGTTATCGTCGCTTATCGAATTTACCGCCTTCTGATAAGAACTTTTTAGTGGATCTAGCGTCTCTTATCTGCTTATCCGTTTCGTTGCCTCAGAAATTTTTGGGTTGCGCCTTTGAAATTGGCTTGGCATTTGATTGCTAGACCTGCAAACTCCCAAGTGTTGACTTTCTACATGTCATTCTTTACTTCCCTCTAAACGACGACGCCGTGAAACCGATATGGAGGTCGCCGATACGACGGTTGCTAAGCCGTCGGAGAGGAAGTATGACAATGGTGCTCGCGTCGTCAAACGAGCCAGGACGGAACTCGTTCCAAAAGAAGAGCGCGAAAGACGACGGCGCTTAAAGGAAGCCCAAAGAGACTACGGCCGAGGTCGCAAGGTCAATATTCAAGGAATCAAGGACAAGAAGCTACGGAGTAACCTCAAATCCCTCGAGAACAA